TTTTTTGTTGTTGCGGCAGCGGTATTGATGGAGATAAGATAAAAAATTAGCATTTTTAATGAGAAGTTTGTAAATTACTTCTGCAATTTTTTGTCTTTTAGGACACCGGTTTTAAGTTTTAGTTTTTCGTGAATAAGTTGTTAAGTTATATATATATATATATATATATATATAATTTTTTAGACGAACATGGGTACTTGAAAATTCTAATGGGTAGGTAGAGTAATGGTTGCTTCCAATGTTTCACAACATTAACAGCAAGAACAGGCCTTTATCCCATTAAGTGTAATCACAACAAAAAAATGAAAAAAAAAAATGGATAACTTATTAGATGACGGGGAACTTGTCATTTTCTGAATAACCTCCCGGAAAAATTATTGCGCATGTTCACCATACGCAGAGATACATACGGTAATTCAGTCAAAATTCTCCTTACCCAAACGTGCATGTTATTGAGGTTTGCACAGGCTTGCGTGTCATCATCAACATAAAATCACATGAATCCCACTCATGGTTTCTGGGACATCACCCATGAATCTTGTCAATTTTAATGACTCATTTTGTTAAATATATGAAGCCTGTAACTTACCTACATCACCTACCGTGCCCCACCTACCGCGTCTCACCTACCTCTCTTCTGTTATAAGAGCTAAGTCAAGCTCTCTTGAGAGCTAAGAGAGAAAGGAAGAGAGAAAAAGAAGAGAACTTTTTTTTGTAAACGTAGAGGCGCTTGACGATGTAATTTCTCGAAGTACTAAAATCCTTTGCAGCTCTGTGAACGTAGGCAAATTAGCCGAACCACGTAAATCTGTATGTTATTTTCTAGTTTGCAATTTTTTGAACCGGTTTTTTCACTTTATTACTGTTATTATTTATAACAACTGGTATCAGAGATTTGGTTTAGATATAAGGAAGAACTATAGACAGAGACAAAATGATGACATCAGGGATCTAGAAGTTTAATGACACAAAATTTGGTTACTGGAGGATGCAGATAGAACAATACCTATATACGATTAACACTATCGGTTTTTTATACGATTAAGAATTTCATCTTCCGTTGCTGGGAAAGAAGTCAAAAAAGACTAACGAGGCGGAATGAACTCTGTTGAATCAACAGGTTATGGGGGTTATACGATTAACACTATCAAGATCCGTTACCCACAACTTCATCAAGGAGAACACTACTGCAGACCTCATGGCGGCTTTATCCGGTATGTATGAAAAATCATCGACGAATAACAATGAGCACCTGATGAAAAAATTTTTCAACTTAAAGATGGTGGAATGTGTGTCTATTGCTCAGCATTTGAATGATTTCAACACCATCACAAAATCAATTGTCGTCTATTGAAATTGTTTTTGATGATGAGATACGTGTGCTGATATTATTAACATCATCGTCAAATAATTGGGAAACCATGAAGATAATAGTTAGTAGTTCTGCAGGTAAATTCAAACTAAAATATGATGATATTCGTGATTTGATTTTGGCTGAAGATGTGCCTAGGAAAGATTCAGGCAAGACCTCGGGTTCGAGATCGACACTGATTGTTGATTTCAGAGGAAGATCACATGACAAGAACTCAAATAGAGAAAGATCAAAATCAAAATCTGGTCAGCAGACAACCTGCTAGAATTGTGGCAAGACTGACCACATAAAAAAGAAGAATAAGAATCCTAAGAAGAAGGAGAACAATAGCGCAAATGTGGTAACTGAAGAAATACATGATGAACTATTGCTAACTGCTGACAGTTCTGTTGATGACTGGATACTGGATTCAGGGACTTCCTTCCATACATCTTCCCACCGTGAGTTAATGCAAAATTATGTTGCAAGTAACTTTTGAAAGATATATCTTGCTGATGGAAAATCTTTGGACGTGGTGAGGATGAAAGATATTGATATTGCACTCTCTAACAATAACAAATGAACTTTGCAAAAGGTCAGACATGTTCATGAGTTGAAGAAAAACTTAATTTCTGTCGGACAGCTCAATGAAGATGGTCATTCAGTAGTGTTATCAGATAACACCTGAAAAGTTACTAAAGGAGCATTAATACTGGTTCAAGATAAAAAAAACTAACATACTATATATATAACTACAGATTTA